CACACACAAAGCGATCCCTCATAGCTAAGTACACTAGTACACACCAAGCAATCCCTCATAGCTAAGTACAACACCCACCAAGCAATCCCTCATAGCTAAGTACATTAACACACACAAAGCAATCCCTCATAGCTAAGTACACTAATACACACCAAGCAATCCGTCATAACTAAGTACACTAACACACACCAAGCAATCCGTCATAGCTAAGTACATTAACACACACCAAGCAATCCCTCTAAGTACACTAACACACACAAAGCAATCCCTCAAAGCTAAGTACACTAGTACACACCAAGCAATCCGTCATAACTAAGTACATTAACACACACCAAGCAATCCCTCTAAGTACACTAACACACACAAAGCAATCCCTCAAAGCTAAGTACACTAGTACACACCAAGCAATCCGTCATAACTAAGTACATTAACACACACCAAGCAATCCCTCTAAGTACACTAACACACACAAAGCAATCCCTCAAAGCTAAGTACACTAGTACACACCAAGCAATCCGTCATAACTAAGTACATTAACACACACCAAGCAATCCCTCTAAGTACACTAACACACACAAAGCAATCCCTCAAAGCTAAGTACACTAGTACACACCAAGCAATCCGTCATAACTAAGTACATTAACACACACCAAGCAATCCCTCATAACTAAGTACACTAACAAACACCAAGCAATCCCTCATAACTAAGTACAACACACACCAAGCAATCCCTCATAGCTAAGTAAGTACACTAACACACACCAAGCAATCCCTCAAAGCTAAGTACACTAACACACACCAAGAAATCCCTCATAACTAAGTACAACACACCCCAAGCAGTCCCTCATAACTAAGTACACTAACACACACCAAGCACTCCCTCATAGCAAAGTACAACACACACAAAGCAATCCGTCATAACTAAGTACAACACACACCAAGAAATCCTTCATAGCTAAGTACACTAACACACACAAAGCAATCCCTCATAGCTAAGTACAACACACACCAAGCAGTCCCTCATAGCTAAGTACACTAGTACACACCAAGCAATCCTTCATAGCTAAGGACACTAACACACACCAAGCAATCCCTCATAACTAAGGACAACACACACCAAGCAATCCTTCATAGCTAAGGACACTAACACACACCAAGCAATCCCTCACAGCAAAGTACAACACACACCAAGCAATCCCTCATAACTAATTACAACACACACCAAGCAATCCCTCATAACTAAGGACAACACACACCAAGCAATCCTTCATAGCTAAGTACACTAACCCACACCAAGCAATCCCTCATAACTAAGTACACTAACACACACCAAGCACTCCCTCATAGCAAAGTACAACACACACCACCCAATCCGTCATAACTAAGTACAACACACACCAAGCGATCCTTCATAGCTAAGAACACTAACACACACCAAGCAATCCCTCATAGCAAAGTACAACACACACCAAGCAATCCGTCATAACTAAGTACAACACACACCAAGCAATCCTTCATAGCTAAGTACACTAACACACACCAAGCAATCCCTCATAGCTAAGAACACTAACACACACCAAGCAATCCCTCACAGCAAAGTACAACACACACCAAGCAATCCGTCATAGCTAAGTACACTAACACACACCAAGCAAGCCCTCATAGCTAAGTACACTAACACACACCAAGCAATCCCTCATAACTAAGTACAACACACACCAAGCAGTCCCTCATAACTAAGTACACTAACACACACCAAGCAATCCTTCATAGCTAAGTACACTAACACACACCAAGCAAACCCTCATAGCTAAGTACAACACACACCAAGCAATCCCTCATAGCTAAGTACACTAACACACACCAAGCAATTCCTCATAACTAAGTACACTAACACACACCAAGTGTGACTACTAAGGCTACAAAGTATGCTGCTGCGCTTACAGAGATACCAGATAAACATACATAGCTGATAATATGACCAGAGCCCACCTGTAACCTACCCACTGGACACGCATCAGAAATTAACAAAGAGTTGACATCATACATGGATTAGTCAGTGCCACAGCAGGAGTCATTGATCTACAGCTCGGAACTCTAAAGGCTGGCCAACAGTGATATCTGACACATCCAAACCAGTTCCACCATACTGATCCATGACAGATGAACTGAGGCTGAAGGACTATTTTTTTTATAGGGGGAAGTTGATTATCCTGAAACAACTCCAATGCAAGATGCTCACCACGGTACACGAAAGTCACCATGGAGCAGTGCAAGTCATATGCATCTATTGGCCAAATATGTCATCAGACACAGAAAACGTTGTGTTTTAATGTGCCACATGCAACAAATTCAAGCCCGAACAACAAAAGGATCCTCTCATTTCTCACTAGATTCCAAGCAGGCCACATGAGGAGCTAGGGATGGACCTGTTAGAGTATGGATCACCTGACTACCTCATGGTAGTTGACTACTACTCAAAGTACCCAGAGATAAGCATCCAGGAGAACAAGATTGCAGGGATTGTAATAACCCATTTGAAGTTCATGCTAGCAAGCTAAGACATGGCATCCTGGAAGCTGTCGTGTCAGATAATATGCCATTCTCATTGGGAGTGTTCAAATACATAGATTGCCAAGGAGTGGAACACTAGTCAAGCCCCGCCTAGCTTTCATTAATCTAATGGGCTAAGTGAATGTATGGTGCATTCAATGTATTCAGAATAAGTGGCAAAATACCAAAAAACCGGTACCCTCATTTGAACCAATACTCAGTTTTGCCTCACATACAAAATTAAATGGGTATACCTTCATACGACAAATTAAACCAGTATCTCCACTTGCTTGTTTACATTTGCGAGGGAGGTTTTTGGAAGAGCGTTGGTCTGTTAAAAAATAATACAGCATGCGCATGGTCTATCGTCCAATAATGCATGGTTATTAACGAATGAAAGTTTCATTACATTGCAACGCTTTATAAGTGTTAATATTTCCCAAATTCTAATTTATTCCCTAAACATTTTGATTCTATTACGGCCCCAGCATGAGAAATAAAATAAAAACTGTGTAGCTTGATCTTGGCCAATAAACTGAACTTTCAGTTGACCATTGACAACTAGTTATTTCAGAAGTCAAACAGAATTTTCCCTGAACATATCTTGAAATATTAAAAAATGCTTGCGCAGGAGAATGATAATAAAACAATAACAAAACAGTTGACTAGCCTGTAGGCCCAAAGGCTATCCCATGATAATAAAACAATAACAAAACAGTTGACTAGCCTGTAGTCCTAAAGGCTATCCTATGATAATAAAACAATAACACAACAGTTGACTAGCCTCTAGGCCCAAAGGCTATCCCATGATAATACAACAATAACAAAACATTTCACTAGCCTGTAGGCCTTAAGGCTATCCCATGAGAATAAAACAATAAAAAAACAGTTTACTAGCCTGTAGGCCTAAAGGCTATCCTCTGATAATAAAACAATACCAAACCAGTTGACTAGCCTGAAGGCCCAAAGGCTATCCCAGGATAATAAAACAATACCAAACCAGTTGACTAGCCTCTAGGACTAAAGGCTATCCCATGATAATCAAACAATAACAAAACGGTTGACTAGCCTGTATGCCTTAAGGCTATCCCAGGATAATAAAACAATAACAAAATAGTTGACTAGCCTCTAGGCCCACAGGCTATCCCATGATAATATAACAATAACAAAACAGTTGACTAGCCTGTAGGCCTAAAGGCTAACCACTAACTTGTTTTGCTTGGTAGTTCACATGACTTGTTGAATAGTTGAATTATTTACTAGTTCTAGGTCAATGTAACTAGTCCAAAATTTCCTGATATGGAAACATTGCCTTCTACAACACGAAACCTCAAAAGTAATCGACTGTAGAATAACTACAGGTATTGCCATAAAAAAATGGTGAAGTTTTAGGAAAATTTTGACTATTATCATGCAATACATATTACTTTCTAAATCTTAAAAAGGAATATTCTTGTTTTATAATCATATGTTTTCACAAGTCCAAAGGACCAGTTAGGTTAGGTGATTCACTAGTCCTTGCTGAAATCTTCTAGTCCAGGACTAACGGACTAGTGTTAGTGTCGACCCCTGCTATAATCTATGATCTTCAGAGGTTCTCCAGGAAGAGTCACTAAAGAGATGAAAGGATTAGAGACTAGTCCACTGATTTGTTATTTTTAAGCTAACCTGATCCAAAGTATCAAGTTGAGCTTATGCCATACTGTGACATCTATTGTCTGTCCATCTGTTGGATTCAAAATTGGGCATTTGGTGGGACTGATAACCATCCAGGCATCTTCTGAAATTCCATGGGTTTTCATCCCTTATATTGTCTGCACCCCTTGAATACATCATGACAAAATCAAAGGTATGCAGTAAGCTTAGATTGGTTTCAGGTAAAAAAAAACAACACTGCCCAATCGCTTGGCCAATACCTTTCTTTGGAGATTACAAATGAGTGACTTTAAAGCCGGGTAATTTTATCCGTATCCTTTTGAAAGACACGTCTGATGATCAAACTAGTCTACATATTGCACTGAAGTTATTTACAGTGAACATACTCATGATCATACTGCATCGCAAAAAGCTGTGTTTAATTAGTATGCACATTCCTCATTCAAATACATAAAGATAGTATCATCTATTTTCTGTTCCTGGTATTTTAAATCAATGGAATCAATTTTATTTTCAGAGTTGTAGTTCTTTATATATTACCTTTATTCCATTTTTAATACCCTCAACTGCACAGTGCCCCCTACTCCCAAAAGAAATAACCCAAACCTACAAATATACACAACAAATGCAATAATGCCTACTTTGGGCATTCCTCTTGGGTAAATACAAAGTACAGCCAGATAAAAAGGTTTCTGTATGATAAACCAGTATAACTATTACTATTTTTAACCTATATAACTACTAGCTTTGGATAATGTGGTAATGAAGTAATGATCTTTTGTTCCTTTCAGATCACTGAATCACAGGATCAAACATCATGACCAAGAGCTTGTTTGCAGTTCTTGGCGTGAAGCCAGGGGCAACAGAGGATGAGATAAAAAAATCATACCGGAATCTTGCCCGGAAGTACCATCCTGACAAAAACAAAGAACCTGGTGCTGAAGAAAAGTTCAAGGAAATCTCTGCAGCATATGATCATTTAAAAAGTGCTGATCGACGGGAAATGCATGAAAGACAGGTCAACAAACCAAAAGAAGAGCCCAAAAAGTCCTTCACCAAATCAAAGCCAGGTGGTAGTTACAACACAACCTTTACATCATCTGCAGGAAAAGATGATGGCAAAGCATACAGTGGCGCATACTCAAAACCTGCTGGGACTGGGAGTCACACATTTACCTCACCAGATGAAGATTTCAATTTTACATTTTTCTCATCAAAAAATTCAAACAGAAAAAGTAAACAGAAAAAAAATAAAAGCAAAACACAGAAACCATGGAGCCAGGATTGGAACATCCCGGATGATGCTTTTCCTGGAGACTTTGAGGCTGGCTTTCCAGGATTTGGTTCAAATTCTGGAACATTTTCCTTTGCTTTTAAATCTTTTGTTGATGACCTGGATGCACACTTCTCAACGTTTTTTGCTAAGAGCCCATTCGATTTTTCAACATTTCATGGTGGAATGGATCCTTTTGATGACATATTTGTTGGTAAGTTAAATTAAAGATATTAATTTTGCAATATTTATGTCAGAATATTACAAAAACAAAAAGTACAATTTGAAAGCTACAGCTTTTTGAGATTAATTTTAAATGTACTGTTTTTTAGCCCAACTGGTCCGAAGGACCATGATGAGCGTCGTCCATCAACTTTTCCTTTAAAACGCTACTAGTCCTGAATGGCTTAGTGGATTTTAACTAGATTTGGTCTGGAACATCCTTGGGCCAAGGCACTCAATTTTGTATAAATGGTGGGTGTGGCTCCCCTTGGGGCAGAGGAACGGGGCCAAATAGGGGAAATAGAGGTAAAACCTTTAAAATCCTTCTTCTTCTGTAGGAATTAAGGGATTTTATCCTAATTTAGTCTGGAGCATCCTATGACCAAGGGCACTCAATTTTGTATAAATGGTGGGTGTGGCTCCCCTTGGGGCAGAGGAACGGGGCCAAATAGGGGAAATAGAGGTAAAACCTTTAAAATCCTTCTTCTTCTGTAGGAATTAAGGGATTTTATCCTAATTTAGACTGGAGCATCCTATGACCAAGGGGACTCAATTTTGTATAAATGGTGGGTGTGGCCCACCTGGGGGCAGAGTGGCGGGGCCCAATATGGGAAATAGAGGTAAAACCTTTAAAACCTTTCTTCTACCGTAGGGATAAATGGATTTTATCCTAATTTAGTCTGGATCATCCTTGGGCAAACTAGGGTACTCAATTTTGTATAAACAGTGGGTGCTGCCTCCCTGGGGGCACAGGGGCAGAGCCAAATAGGGGAAATAGAAGTAAAATCTTTAAAATCCTTGTTCTACTGTAGGGATTAAGGGAATATATCCTAATTTAGTCTGGAGCATCCTTGGACCAAAGAGACGCAATTTTATATAAACGTTGGTTGTGGACCCACTGGGGGCAGAGGGGCGGGGCTGAATAGGGGAGATAAAGGTAAAACCTTTAAAATCCTTCTTCTACCATAGTGATTAGGGTATTTATTAGCCCGAAGGACCATGGTGAGCTTATGCCATACCGCAACGTCCGTCGTCCATCGTCCTTCGACCTGCGTCCGTCGTCCGTCAACCTTACACTACTAGTCATGAACCACTGAGCGGGTTTTAATAAAATTTGGTGTGGAGCATCCTTTGGTGAAGAAGAACCAATTTTGTATAAATGGTGGGTCTGGCCCCCCAGTGGCCTGAGGGGCGGGGCCCAATAGGGGAAATATAGCAAATTCTTTTAAATCGTTCTTCTTCTGTAGGAATGAAAGGATTTGTACCATATTTGGTCTGACCCATCCTAGGGTGAAGGGCAATCAATTTTGTATAAACGGTGGGTCGGGCCCCCTTGGGGGCTGAGGGGTGGGGCCCAATAGGTGAAATACATGTATAGCAAATTGTTTAAAATCCTTCTTCTGTAGGAATGAAAGGATTTGTTCCATATTTGGTCTGAAGCATCCTTCGGTGAGCTTTACTCAAGTGAGCTATTCTAATCGCTTTCCGTCCGTCGTGCGTTAACTTTTTACATTTTCAACTTCTTCTCCAGAACCAGATGATGGTTTTTAGCTCACCTGGCACGAAGTGCCAAGTGAGCCTATGCCGTGGCGCGGCGTCCGTCGTCCGTCCGTCCGTCCTCGTCCGTCAACTTTTCCTTTAAACAACTTCTTCTGAAGAACGGACAGGCCTAGAGTCATGATATTTGGCTGAAAGCTTCGTTGGTAGGAGCCCTACAAAGTTTAAGAACGAAAATGACCTTGACCTGTTTTCAAGGTCACAGGGGTCAAATATGTCAAAAACTTCAAACGACTTCTTCTGAAGAATTAAAAGGTATAGAATCTTCATATTTGGCTGATGGCTTCCTTGGATGGAGCCCAACAAAGTTTGAGAATGAAAATTACCTTGACCTTCTTTCAAGGTCACAGGGGTCAAATGTGTCAAACACTTCAAACGACTTCTTCTGAAGAACTGAAAGGTATATAATCTTTATATTTGGCTGGTGGCTTCCTGGGATAGAGCCCAACAAAGTTTGAGAATGAAAACTAGTTTGACCTACTTTCAAGGTCACAGGGGTCATATATGTCAAAAGCTTCAAATGACTTCTTCTGAAGAACTGAAAGGTATAGAATCTTTATTTTTGATTGATGGCTTCCTTGGATAGAGCCCGACAAAGTTTGAGAATGAAAATGACCTTGACCTTCTTTCAAGGTCACAGGAGTCAAATGTGTCAGACACTTCAAACGACTTCTTCTGAAGAACTGAAAGGTATATAATCTCTATATTTGGCTTGTAGCTTCCTAGGAAAGAGCCGAACAAAGTTTGAGAATGAAAATGACCTTGACCTTCTTTTAAGGTCACATGAGGCAGATATGTCAAACACTTTAAACGACTTCTTCTGAAGAACTGGTAGTTATAAAATCTTAATATTTGGCAGGTGGCTTCCTGGGAAAGAGCCAAACAAAGTTTGCGAATGAAAATGACCTTGACCTACTTTCAAGGTCACAGCGTTCAAATATGTCAAACAGTTCAAACAGCTTCTTCTGAAGAATTAAAAGGCATAAAATTATAATATTTGGCTGGTGACTTCCCGGGATAGAGCTCACCAAAGTTTGCAAATGAAAATGACCTCAACCTACTTTAGAGGTCACAGAGGTCAACAACATTTTAATGGATTTGTTCTTGAGAACTAAAAGGAATGGATTCATAAGATTTGGCTGGTAGCTTTTTGGAATAGAGCTAACCAATTTGAGAAGGAAAATGACATTGACCTACTTACAAGATCACAGGGAAAAATATGGTAAGCAACTTCTGAAGAAGAATCAAAAAGCATAGAATCTTATAATAATATTTTGCTGGTAGTTTCAACAGATGGAGCCAACAAAGTTTGCGAGGGAAATATTTTTAGTGCAATATAATATTTAATGAGAATATTTTGCTATGACTGCTTAAATATTCAGGTGAGCGATACAGGCCCTCTTGGGCCTCTTGTATTTCACTTAGTTTACATGCTGATTTCCACATTACATCTCAACAATAAAATAAAGCTACCAGTACCTATATTATAACTCCTAAGGCGCTTTGGCCCCTTGTTTATAAACCTTGGGTCTGGCCCCCCAGGGGCCTGAGGGGCGGGGCCCAATAGGGGAAACATAACAAATTATTCTTTAAAATCCTTCTTCTTCTGTAGGAATGAAAGGATTTTATCTTTATTCAGTCTGGAGCATCCTTGATCAAAAGGGACTCAATTTCCTATAAACAACGAGTGTGGTCTCCCAGGGGGTGGGGCTCAATAGGAGAAATAGAGGTAAAACCTTTAAAATACTTCTTCGACCATCGTGATCAAGGGATTTTATCCTTATTTAGTCTGAAGCATCCTTGGGCCAAGGGGACTCAATTTTGTATAAACGGTGGGTATGACCCCCCCTAGGGGCATAGGGATGGGGCTCTGTTTGAAGTTTGTTCTTGCTTTATCTCAAGTACTGGATGGATCTTTCGGAAATTTCATATGTACTGACAGCACCTACCATGGAGTGCTATATCCTTACTTCATACCAATTATTTTAAACATATTCAGGTGAGCGATACAGGCCCTCTGGGCCTCTTGTCCTAATTTAGTCTGGAGCATCCTTGGGCCAACGGGACTCAATTCTCTATAAATGGTGTGTGGGCCCCCCCTGGGGGCCGAGTGGTGGGGTCCAATATGGGAAATAGAAATAAAACCTTTAAAATCCTTCTCCTATGGTAGGGATTAAGGGGATTTTATCCCAATTTAGTCTGGAGCATCCTTGGGCAAAGGGCACTCAATTTTGTATAAACGGTGGCTTTGGACCCCCTGTGGGCAGAGGGCTTGGGCCCAATATGGGAAATAGAGGTAAAACCTTTGAAATACTTCTTCTACTGTAGGGATAAAGGGATTTTATTCTAATTTAGTCTGGAGCATCCTTCGGCCAAATAGGGGAAACATAGCAAATTCTTAAAAATCCTATTTCTTCTGTAGGAATGACAGGATTTTGTCCAAATTTGGTATGAAACACCCTCGGTTGGGCGGGAACAAATTTTGTACAAACGGTTGGTCTGACCTCCCTGTTGGCAGAGAGACAGGGCCCAATACATGATATAGAGGAATATTCTTTAATATCCTTCTTCTTCCATTGGGATGAAAGTAATTTAACAAAATTTGAACAGTAGCATCCTATTTGGAAGGGAAATCAGTTTTGTGTTAATGGTAGGTTTGAACCCCCTGGGGCCAGAGGGGCGGGCCCAATAGGGGAAACATAGCAAATTCTTCAAAATTCCTCTTCTTCTGTAGGAATGACAGGATTTTGATTAAATTTGGGATGACGCACCCTTGCATTGGGTGAAGGGGAACCAATTTTGTATAAATGGTGGTTCTGACCCCCTTGTGGCAGAGAGGCAGGGCCAAATAGGGAAAAATAGAAAAATAACTTTAAAATCCTTCTGCTTCCGTAGGAATGACAGGATTATGTCCATATTTGGTCTAAAGCATCCTTTGGTGAAGGGGAACCAATTTTGTATTAACGATGGGTCTGACCCTCCTGGGGGCAGATGGGGCGGGGCCCAATAGGGAAAACATAGCAAATACATCAAAATCCTCCTCTTCCTGTAGGAATGACAGGATTTTGTCCAATTGCATATGAATATAACCCCTGACTAACCATGTAATACATGTACACTACCAGCAACATCTGTCTTTTTCAACTTTGATTTTGCTTACATTTCCAGGGGAGCGATACAAGCCCTCTGTGCCTCTTGTTTATAAACCCCTAGGGGCAAAGGAGAGGAGCCCAATAGGGGATATAGAGGTAAACCTTTAAAATCCTTCTTCTACCAAAGGGATTACTGGGTTTTATCCCAAATTTGTATCCATCAAGTTGTCAAGTAGTGCCCATTACTATTAGGGTGTATTCATTAAAGGAAGATGGCCACCAGGCTATATCTCGCTATATCTCAAGAAATACTGGATGGATCTTTCTGAAATTTCATATGTAC